ACACTTTCCTTTCTGCATGATACTTTTTACCTGTTTGTTCAAATAACCAGCAAAGTCTATATTAATGCCAGCATATTTAGTGTGCCATACATTTGCTGGAATCAGAGGGCATGGCCTTTCAATGCTGCTAGATTCTGGCTTTCTTTTCCATGTAGACTGTTGAGGTTTGAAAGGGCCTGTTTAAATGCTGATACCCTGCCTCCAGAGTGTTGAAGTTAGTGGCTACATGGTTATTTTCTTTGGAGGAGGTACATTACACCCCTGAGATAAAAATGCTGGTTTAAATTCAGGGAGAGTCTATAGATGATGTGTATGCCAGGGCTGGGTAGATTGGCATTCATCCTTAAAAGACTCCATACTTGTGACCAAGGATCTTGCTCTGGAGGTTTCTGGGTGTGAAAACCTGTCTCTGAAATTGGGCCACACAGACGAGTTAAGGGGTCCCCTGGATACTGGCTGTCCTTCTGCTCAATGGAATTCCTTGAGCTCTTGGGAGTGGTATTGGGGCTGATGTTGGAACCCCCACCCCTGCCTTTTGTTTTGGGAGGACTTCAACATCCGTATCCCAGGAGTTGGAAATTCATGGCCTCCATGGCAATCATGGGCTTATTTCAAGTAATCTCAGGCCCAGCCCATACAGGCAGATACACATTGGATCTTGCTTTCCTTTTAGAGCAGTTGAGCATCTAGATAAAGAGGAAATTGTCATACTCTTTTGCCATAGACACCTGGTCTAGATGGATAGCCACCTGGTGATTCTGTAGGACAAACAGACCAATTCAGATGGTCTGCCCCAGTACCCAAGATGGATTCCGGCAAGTGCCTGGGGAGTTTCTCATTGATTTGCCAGACAGTTCCATCAAGGGCCTGGTTGATTGCTGGCAGCAAGAGCTACCAGGGCTCTTTATGAGATTGCACCCAAGCAGGGTGGCAGAAGGGACCCCTGGAGTGTTGGTGGAGGAAAACAAAAGATGAATCTGACCAAGCATGGGTATGTGGCCATGTTTGGGCATACACTATGGCAATAAAGGAGGTAAAGCATCTCCATTTCTCCTCCCTTATTGTGTTGGAAGGCTGTTGCCCAGCAGCCCTATTTAGGGTGGCAAACTCTCTTTTAAGGAGGAGCTGATGGCAAGATCTCTCCCCCCCCTCAACTGCTGTGATGTATTTGCGCAGCATTTTGCCAACAGAGTTGTTAAATTTGCCAGTCTTGACTCCTTATGTGATGACATTGGACTCTGAGAAATTACAGTTGGTCTAGAATGCAGTGGCCCAGGTTATGACTGGCACTTGCTATCAGCAGCATATCACACCTGTACTTCAGGCTCTATACTGGCTCCTGATTGGTCTCCAGATACAATTTAAAGTGCTCATTTTAATCTACAGAGCACTTCATGGTTTGGCTTTTAGGCATCACCAGGACCACATTCTCCAGCCAGAATTATCCTGACCAACAAGATCATTAAGAGAGAAATTTCTGCTGATGCTGTAATTCTGAGAAGTTTCAGGGGCTGTCGCTAGAAGATGCTGCTTTTCTGTTGCAGGACTGACCCTCTAGAACAGTCTCCCCATTGACATCAGGTTCACCCCTCCCTCACAACACTCAGGAAACAATTAAAAATGGAGTTATGGGAGTGTTTTAATGCTGTATTTGTTTGTGTCCTGAAATCAAATCTTTATCTGACCGTAATAAAGGTTGGATTTGATGTTTGTGTCCTGTTACGATACATGTTTTATTATTCTTGACTGTGGAAGTTTTTCTGGTTGAGTCAATTTGTTGTAATCAGCACTATACAAGTCAAATAAATAAATAAATACGCAATATACATACCTGTCTGCTGGGACTGTTAATTCTATCTTGCAGCCCTCAGAATTTTACCCCCTTAAGAGTGTTCATGCGTATAATTCATGACTTATTGGTTTCAAGGCCAAATAGCTAATCTGCATAATTTTCTTTCAGAGAACTGCCATTATACAGCTTGATATTCCCTCTAGAACAGTACAATATTATCAACAAATCTGAAAGCAATTAATCAAATACGTATAATATGACCCCTCTCCCCCCACCATAGAAAAGGTTTCTGTGCAGCTCCTGGATTTACTGTTTGCCTGGCTGTGGTCATTCAACTTGGCGGTTCACAAATTATGTAGAAGGTATCTGATTGCTGAGTTATTTGAAAGTTCTTCTCAATAAATTGTTCTAGTTGGTGGCAACCAGATAATTGTTCTTGGTAGTTCAGTAGCTGTACCTCAGTGAAAAATAACATGTGTGTAGAACTTTCCTGTTTAATCACAGGCATCCCCAAGTAGGGTTGCTAAAGATTCCTGACAGAAACACTGGAATGATACTGCCTATTGATGGCCTGATTCATGCAACATACTTAAGCTATAATCTGCTTTGTATGGTTTTGTAATAGCATCTTGAATGAAGCTAAGCGTTGTGGTTTATATATTTTTATGGCTTAACATGTTGTTTGAACCAAGCTCCACTGTGACTTGTTCCAGAAACCATGTTTAAAACAGCCATGATGTGTAAACCCAGCCAGTGTCATACTCACTTAATGTACTATTTTTGAAAAACAGAAGATTGTAGACCTTTTCTTGACTTGAGCTAAGCTTTTGCCATAATTGCCCCTAGCATTCCAAAAATATATATGGAGTAAGAAGACTAGTTGGAAAACTTTGCTGAGAAAAGAAGGGTTAGTGAGTCAGTGCTAGATTTGTTGGC